AAAAAAAAAAAAAAATACTATACAATATAATATGAGTAAAAAAAACATTTCAATATTTTATAATTTTAAGATGTCAAAATTATTCGTCAAAGAGTAATATTTATTACGTAACTTAATTTGCAACAGATCGCACATTCATATTCATAATTAACAATTTTTCTCATCCTATAACAAAACTAATCGACCAGATTAATATCAATTTTTCTTCGGATATAAAAATGGGGCGTTCATCGAAAGTTCGCGTTCGATTATAAGAGAATATAATTTCTGGAATTCCGAAGCAAACTTGGAAAAAGCAGCGGTCTAAGGGATGATCCCCGTATGGAAAGTCCCATCAATATTTTCCAATCAGCATTCGATTGCACGGTACCATCCCTATCCCCCCCTTCTCTTGGTTGTTCGTACTCGGGGGGTGTAAGGGGGTCGCAGGCGTAGGCGTATATGGTGGTGGTATGCGGCATAGCCGGCATAGCGCCGCGACGCCCCGACGCCATATTGCATTATTAAGCACCCCTGTCACTCTCTCCCCCCTGCATTCCAGCATTATGAACGTTTTTATCCCTAAAAGGTCGTCGTTTTGCCTATTTCAAGCGAAATCGTTGGTTCCATCACTGGCTACTAATCAATTCGTTTCGCATTTTCGTACGAACATTCCTATGATCCCCTTCATTTACGCGTATCTAGTTCATCCTATATAAAAATTATTCATATGTATGAACCGGTATGAATTTGTTGAATTATTATTATGAATTATTATGAATTATAAATATGAATTAAGTATGAAGTTTGTTAAGTAAATAGTAATACTTCGCCTTAATCGATTTTGATTAAACATTTAACTGGATTCCTTGAAAGTATCTCTAGTTCTGTATTCTCTACGTCAGAAATTGTTATTTGCTCTATATCGGTTATAAAACTAGTATTACCTATTATACTGTTCGTTCAAGTCGGTAGTCGCAGACAGATAGTCACGGATGTCGCATTTGAGTCGTTAAATTACGATTTCATGTTCGTGTCACGCAATGTAAAAGAAAGAAATGTAGAACGATTGTTCATCTATTGTTCGATTTACAATGTTGGTGGATCAGTTTCGAATGTTGTTTCTTGCCGGAATATATATATTGTTTCGGATTCGTTTTGTTTGATCAAGAAAAGAATTTAATTTCGATCCGAATTCATCATTGAGATTCTTAATGTGTCGTGAGAATATTGCAAAAAACTTGGCGAGGGAAAGGTCAAGGAGTTCGGACCACTTTTGGTGCACCATCGGAGCTCGATTTCTAGAGAGACGATATTCTGCGTCTGACATCTTTTTAACGATGCCTACGCGCTCTTTTTCCATCGTAATAAACCATCACGTGCTAGAAGCCTGGCTTCCAATTTATTCGAGTGGCCAACCCTTCTATGGCAAAGACGCTCGACGTTTTCACCGCGAATGAACGGAGCGAACCACGTTTCGAGAAATTTTCCTCCTTCTGACATACAGAATTCTGTTCCATCCGTTTTCCCCAACTATTTTATGAATATTTCCAATTCGATCGACCTGGAATCAAGTTTATCATCATTTCACCCTTTTCTTATTGTTTGACCTTTTACGAATTCGACCAACTTGCAAATGATGTATTCTTCAACAACGTGTCTATACCTTAGAACTCGTTTTACCAAGAAAGTCTATCTTTTTCACATAGATAATATACATATTACATAAACTATTCATTCGAAAATTATAGATACGATAATAAATTATGAAGCATCATTATTACAACATCAATTTCTGGAAAATTTATCATCATATCCGAGGATATCCGTTTTTAGACATTGATTTCTTTTTATCTTACTTCAATTACAAGTATTTTCTTCGAATCTAAAATACCTAATTTAACAGCAACAAATGTTACATAAACGGTCATTGAAATCACCATTGATAAAAAAATTTAAAAAAATATTCAAAAAGAAAATCATACAATTATCATCGTTGAAATCGACTGGAAAAACAAACAACAAAGATCTACAACTTGGACGAAGCAATTTCGTGACGTGTCTATTTCGATCGTTTTTTTGTTCCGGAAATTGTGTCTCGAATTTTATATAGATCCATCTATCTCTCCTGTTCGTTTTTTTTCGAGGATCCGCGAAGAAGATTTTACGGAAAGACGCGCGTTTGCGCAGGAGTCGAAGAATCCTCGCTCTCTGGATCCTCGATATATCCGAGGTGGTAAGCGAAACTCGGGATTGTTCGGTCGTGGCTCATTCAACGTGCACCGGTTGGACTCTTCGATTTCTTCCATAGTTGTAGCAACAGGTAGGGCGCGTGGGATACCACGAAATTTCGTCAAAGTCATCTCGTTTTTATTGTGAGAAAAAGTGAAATTTAGACGAACTTTTCCTACGGTAATTGAGCTAATTTTTAAGTTTGCAAATTTCTAACAAAGCTACAGTGCCTGTGCGGGGGAAAAACAAATCATGGATTTATTAACTTTCCGATTTTGTCGATGAATTAATTATTTTTGTTCGACGACGAGTATAGTATACGAACGGAAAAAAAATATTAATAGAATATAGAAATTATTGTGATTTGACGTTATTAAGATTAATTGAGAAAGGTATCGAGGGAGATAGAAAGTAGAAGAGACTTGTGATAATTGTGAAAAATAAATCATCGCGTTTAAGGTTTTTTCGAGAATAGAACGGATCGTCATGGATATTCAAGAGTTTCGTATACGTGGTAAGGAGATGGTGGAATACATCTGCGAGTTCATGAGCAATATTCACAATCGGAGAGTAACACCGGACGTTGGTCCCGGATATTTGAGACCCCTCCTACCACCGGAAGCACCGCAACAACCTGAGCCTTGGGAGAACATTATGAGGGATGTCGAATCGAAAATCATGCCTGGTGTAAGTGAAAAGGAAAAATTATCTTCCTACATCTTTCTTTTTTAATTCTATTAAATAATCAAGAAAAAGAAGAAAAGTGTAATAAATTGCATAAAAAAAAGAAAAAAAAATATTTACAGATTACCCATTGGCAACATCCAAGATTTCACGCGTATTTCCCAGCCGGAAATTCCTTTCCATCGATTCTTGGTGATATGTTATCGGATGCAATAGGTTGTATTGGATTTTCATGGGTAAACTTCTTTTTTTTTTTAAAAAAAATATTAATTTTCAAAAGATATTCAGAAGATATTTTCACCAAAATACACACATACACACACACACATACAAATTTGATTTTCTTGTGAAGATTAGAATAAAAACACGACGTTACAGATTTGACAGATTGATCAAATGTTTGTTCAATCATCTCATAATTTTTCGATATCTTATTTGTTCTAGGCTGCCAGTCCAGCCTGCACCGAGCTCGAGACGATAGTCTGCGATTGGTTCGGTAATTCAATATCAACTCATTAAATGTCGTTTCAATATATATTAAATATCAGAGGACGAGCTATCAACGAGTTTATCTAAATAAATTTCAGGGAAAGCTATTGGTCTACCGACGGATTTCCTTTATTTCAGTCCTGGTAGCAAAGGAGGTGGCGTGATACAAGTAATATTTCTATTTCTGATTAAAAATTTTATTCAATATAAATACCTTCTATAAATTTAATCACGATAAATCTAATCTTAGGGATCAGCCTCAGAGTGTATTTTAGTATGTATGCTAGCAGCGAGGGCGCAAGCAATTGCAAGGTTGAAAGAATCAACTGCACATGCACACTTGGACGAAACTGCCCTTCTTGGAAAATTGATGGCTTATTGCAGTCGTGAAAGTCACAGCTCCGTCGAAAAGGATGCAATGATTTGTTTCGTGAAACTGAGAATTTTAGAACCTGACGATAAAAGTGTTTTACGTGGTGAAACTTTGCGTCAGGTATAACTTTTTTTTTCTTTCTTCAATATTATTTCATTTCGTTAAAAATATTTTTTCTTGATTCGTTTTACGTACGATATCTTATTTTACTTCGATTAAAACAATTTTATATTCGATCATCGACCAATCTTTTCTATCAAGGCAATCGAAGCTGACACAGCCGAAGGATATATCCCCTTCTTCGTTTCCACCACTTTAGGCACGACTGCTTGTTGCTCCTTTGACAATCTCAAAGAAATCGGTCCAGTTTGTAAAAAATATCCAGGGGTAAGCTGACGGACAATTTTCGAACGATATCCTCGAATATCCTCGATTTCAAAATTCTTCTGTTATCGTTCTTTTTCAGGTATGGTTGCACGTCGATGCAGCTTACGCGGGCAATTCTTTCATCTGTCCGGAATTGAAGTACCTGATGGCTGGTATCGAATACGCGGATTCTTTCAACACCAATACGAATAAATTCCTATTGACGAACTTCGATTGTTCCTGTCTATGGGTCCGGGATAGATTCAAATTGACCAGCGCGCTGGTCGTCGATCCTCTTTATCTTCAACACACTCACGCGGATACAGCTATCGATTACAGGTATTATCGAGATTTCATCAATGTTTAATTCCAAATCAAAGGAAATGAATTCATATAGCTCGTTTCTACTAGACATTGGAGCATACCCCTTAGCCGACGATTTCGATCCTTGAAACTGTGGTTCGTGATGAGAAGTTACGGGATATCCGGTTTACAGGCCTACATTCGAAATCACGTGCAACTAGCTAAAAGATTCGAGGCTTTGGTTAGGAAGGATACGAGATTCGAACTTTGTAACGAAGTTGTGGTGAGTGTGTAATCAGATACAGATAAGGTGAGGGATTCGGAGACTCTCAAGTTGGTAAGTTTTTGAATTGTATTAAATCGTTTCAGCTAGGATTGGTCTGTTTCCGTGCAAAAGGTTCCGACAAACTGAATCAGAAACTGCTGAGCACCATCAATGATTCTGGAAAGTTGCACATGGTTCCAGCAAGAGTGAATCAACGGTTCACGATTCGTTTCGCGCTTGCCGCGCCGAATGCCACTGCTTCTGACGTTGGTGAGCCGATCATATCTTCATTTATAATGGTACCTTTTGCACGTTCTCATTCCTCAATATTTTATTTTTATATTATAGACATGGCGTGGAGCATTATAACGGATTATCTGGCCGAATTATTAGAATCCAAGGTAATCCGAAAATTTCTTAATTGGAATTTTATTTCAATTGATGTAGATGTTCTTAAATATTATTCATACATTTATCTTTCTTTCATTGAATCGTAGGATGTTATGGACGAATTGGCAGATATTCGCGAGAAGAAAAGGAAAGCCACTTTGGAGCAAAGAAGATCGTTCTTCGTTCGAATGGTGTCTGATCCTGCCATTCAACCGGGATTCACGAAGACACCGAACAGGACAGGGGCCAAATTGGATACCCAAGCGACGATCGGTGGTATTGGCTCGAATCCTCATTCCACGACGTAAGAAATGAATATATCCATATCGATGAATTACAGAAATCTTGCAAAATCACTGATTTAGCATGTTTGATGCCAGACGTTCGTGGATATCCTGGCCGCTCGCGTATTTGATGCAGGCGAAAGATGCTGCTGACACCAGTGAATTATCACTTAGGTATTTTTTTTTTAAATATTCTCGGTAAAAGAGATTATATATTTAAAAAAAAATTTCCTTAATTAGGAGATAGAGCGATATGTTTGGAAAATAATTTCAGATTTCGTCATCTGGACACTATGGTTCGCTTGAAAGCAAGCGGTACCGGAAGTCGTCGCGGTAGCAGCAACGGATGCAGCCCGGATCCATCGCCATCCGCCTCGCCGTCCCGCGGAAGATCACCAAACGGAAGGGCGTAAAATATCTCGCGTTTGTCCCAATTGTCTTTTTCTAAACTTTCCCCCAAAAGGTGTATCGATAGAAACGAGAATTAAAACGATGAACGGATACCGCCAACAAAATCGACACAAAAGGAATTTAAAAATGATGAAATGATAGACGATACATCTAAAAATTCTCTTAAAATTGCTCAGCGAACGGACGAAGACACACTCGAAATCGATCGACGATCCGATTAGATTGCAATCCCATTGCCACCTTTTTTTGTTTTGTTTCAGTCACTTTTTCAGAACTGTGCGCAAGTAGTTGCAAGATTTGCATTCTCGACTGAAGGAAGCGCTCGATAAATATAAGTACATCTTCTTTACTTGCTTATCGATCTGTTTATATAAGTCTGCTCTCTTTGGATCGCGACAGAGACGCGTTACCACCATGCGGAACACGCTACATGTGTAACATATTACTCTATTAAAATGTACTTACATATATGATGATATATAAAGCGTGCATACATCGACATAGTAAAAAAAAAAAAAAAAAAAAAAAAAAAAAAAAAAAAAGAAAAAAGAAAAAAAAAATTTCAGGAATAAAATAATCAACGTCCCAATTATTCACCATCATCTCGAAATGCAATCGTTTTCTGTCGTACGGAGATATAATCCGTAAATTGGGCCGAATAGGGGAAGGAGTTAGAATAAAAAATATGAGACGGAAACTCGTGCCTCGGGAATATCGAAAAAAAAGTCATAAAGAGCTGTTCGTTATTCGATCGAAAAGGTTGGGGTCACTGAGGGTGAGCCGATGCACCTGGACCGCCCAGTTTGCTTGAATATCGTTTTTTTCCTTTCTCTCCTTCTCTCTTCCTCCGGCTAAATATGACATTTATTCAATTTCGTTTCGATTCCGTTTTGGTAAAGCTCGTTTGCGCAAACGACGATGTCTCGTTCTGGAAGCAGAAGCGTTGAATACATTGATTCTAATCGAATATATGATCGGCCATTCCCTCTCAAAAAAAAAAAAAAAAAAGAAAAAATACAACGTCAAGTAGAAATGCGTGAGAAGAGAAGGGGAAATAATCGATAATGTCGATCATTGCCAGAATATTGGTAATTAAAATACACTTGATAAATTTCATCCCTTGCATACAATATTGGAAATTAATAGAGAGATTTTCAAGATGAATATTGATCGAATATTGGGAAATAAAGCGTGACTAATGAATATCACAAATCTTCAAAATTTCTTTTTTTGAAAAGAGGAAAAAACTTTGATTTTTAAGAGTTTCGAGAAGAAAAATTTCGAATAAATAATTTCATCCTTTATCGATCCGATTGTGCCAGAAATTATCCATAATTTTTTAATCGTTTCGTACACGACGTCCTATCCTATCGATAACTCATCTCGAGTTTATGTGAGTCAACGAGAAAATGCGCAATGCTCGGCGAAAAAAAGGAGATCGTTGGTTGGATTAATTAATTCGTAGTGGATGGCAATCGTTTCGACACCCTCGATCGAGAAATCCAATTCGAAAACGTCGGACGCGAGCAGACCATGCGTGAAGGTGGCGGCAAAAGAGAAAATGGTGTTCGCCATGTGTCTGCATGTGTGTGTGTGTTACAAAGATTGAGCGGTGACCTGTCACCGCTTCTACGGGATATTGTAAATGTAGGTGAAGAGTAAACGTCTATTTATAAACGGGGGAGGGGGCGAGTTTACTCCCCGTGCATCATCGACAACATGCTGGCTTATTCAAGCAGCGACCCCCTCGATATATCATCATTGATGTCGACCACCCTTCTTGCGAATTTTCGTTCAGATTTTCGGAATCGATCTCGCGATGATCCTTTGCCGAAACGAGAATTGATATTTTCATTTTCAAAGTAATTTTCTTGAAGCGATCGATATATGAAAGATTTTTTTTTTTTATTTAACGAGATATTAAAGTATGATATTATGACAATGTATAATAATAAAGAAAAAATTAGTAATAATATCTTTTCGGCTAAAAATTGATTTAAAAATTCAAATACGTTATTTTTGAAGCAAAATATTTGCAAAAAATTTAAAAGATTATAGTGATTATAGTGATTTAAATGACTACAGTAGTTTTCGTATTACTAATCGTATTACTATTACTATATAAACACTTAAATTTAAATAGAAACAATCGATAACAAAAATTAAAAAAAATTATATAAATGTTTTCGATTAACTGCTACTATTTATAAAGTTTTGATAAAAATAATAGATAAATATGATTTAATTATATGTAATTTTATTTTCTTCTATTATTAAATAACTTTCTATATAAATTTTCTCGAAAACGAAGATTCCAATGAAAAAAACGTTATATCAAAATTTTTTTCTCATATAAATATACGAAATTGTATTTTCTGATTAAATAATTTCTTTCGAAGAGTTTTTTAAATTGCTGATTGTTTTTTTTTTTTTTAAAGAATCATTTTTATATCAAAAAGATATAAATATAATATATGCGTGTGTATGTGATTAAGAAAAAGAATGAATTATACGTCATACAGGGGGTGGAAAAAAATGCTACTAAATTTAGTTAGTTCATCGGAAGTATGACGAATTTTAAGGGTTTATGAAAAGTTTCGAAGGGGGTGTGATTTTTTTTCGAGCAAGTGTTTGCGTAATAAACGGTACGATACGAAACTATAGTGTCGTAATCTATAACGAAACAGGTAAATTATTATTTTTTACGATCACCGAAGCTCCGCCTTAATTTTATCTGCGTGAGGCAGGGATGTACGAAGAGGAGACGCGCATAAAACTGACGGCGCTATGGCAGGTGCTACCAGTCTCAGTTTAAACGCGGGACAAATCTGTTACGCGTTTCCTTCGATGTGAAAGTGTTTTGAAAAAGTTTGAACAACAATTTCCAAATAGAAAATACATAGAAAAGTGTATTCGAGCATTCAACTAGATTAACTTTTCCCTTGATAATTGAAAAAAAATGAGAAAACAAATTAGAGTTGTGGAATAATTGTGAAGAAAAGAGAACTCTGTATTATTTAATAAAAAGAAAGAAGTAAAGAAAAATAAAGAGATAAAAAAGAAAAATAAAAATAGAAAAATAAAAAAAAAAAAACAAACGAAAAGGTATTTCGTCCCACGTATTTCTTTGCTTGCGAATGACGTTTATTTCATCTGTAATACCGATAAATGGCGCTGAAAAATGTCACGATCAAGCTTTAACCGAGAACGTGCTTAATCAAACATGAGTTTTATTGGCACGTACTAGTCCATCTCTCCTTCGAATTGCATTCCAGTCAGCAATTATCATGAACATCGATGAGTTTCAAGTACGCGGCAAGGAGATGATCGAGTACATTTGCGAATATCTCCGCACATTGGAAGGAAAGAGGGTGACGGCGAACGTGGACCCAGGCTACTTAAGGCCCTTACTTCCCAAAGAAGCACCAGCGAAAGGGGAATCATGGGATGCTATAATAAGGGACGTCGACAGGAAAATAATGCCCGGGGTGAGTGTCAACTATGTGGACTCGATTATCGATCCCTCCTTTGTTGATTCCGACCTCTTTCGATGTTAATAATATTCCCGAATACGAAAAAAATAGAAGAAAAGAAAACTCATGGTCGTGACAATGGTTACATCATATTTTTATCCATTATCAAAAAAATCATTTTACCTCTTCTATATTATTTCTTTTATGATAATGTTAAAATCTGTATAACGTCAACAATTTTTTTTAAAACGAATTCAATACCGAATAATCAAACTTGAGAATACTGAGAGAACGCCGATGCTTTACAGATCACGCACTGGCAGCATCCACGTTTTCACGCCTACTTTCCGGCGGGCAATTCGTTTCCCTCGATCCTCGGAGACATGCTGTCCGACGCAATCGGGTGTATAGGTTTCTCTTGGGCCGCGAGCCCGGCCTGCACGGAATTGGAAACTATTGTTTTGGATTGGTATGCAAAAGCGATAGACCTTCCACCGGAATTTCTAGCCGAGCACAAAAGTTCGAAAGGCGGTGGAGTGATACAAGGATCCGCTTCCGAGTGTATTCTGGTCACCATGCTTGCGGCACGAACCCAAGCTATTCGAACTTTGAAGGAGCAAGACCCGAACACCGAAGATTCCGCCTTTCTGCCACGATTGGTCGCTTATTGTTCAACGGAGGCGCATTCCTGCGTAGAAAAGGCGGCGATGATCAGTTTGGTGAAGCTACGAGTCTTGGAACCGGACGAGAAAGGTTCTCTGCGTGGTAAGCGACTGGAATCCGCAATTCGAGAAGACGTGGCAAGTGGTTTAGTGCCATTCTTCGTTTCGACCACTCTTGGCACTACCGGATCCTGTGCGTTCGATAATTTAGTCGAAATCGGACCTGTGTGCAAACTCTATCCTAATGTTTGGCTCCACGTGGATGGTGCTTACGCTGGTAATGCGTTCATTTGCCCGGAAATGAGGCCATTTATGTCCGGCATCGAGCATGCGGACTCGTTCAATACTAATCCTAACAAGTGGTTGCTAGTCAATTTTGATTGCTCTTGCCTTTGGGTGCGTGACCGAGTGAAACTCACGTCGGCACTTGTCGTCAATCCATTGTATCTTCAGCACGCTAGATCCGGTGAATCTATCGATTACCGCCATTGGGGAATACCTTTGAGTAGACGATTCAGAGCGCTCAAATTATGGTTCGTGATGAGATCGTATGGAATCACAGGATTACAAAAGTACATAAGAAATCATATTAGGCTGGCAAGACGATTCGAGACTCTAATGAAGAGGGATAAGCGATTTGAGATAACCAATGATGTGAGAGTAGGTTTGGTCTGCTTCAGATTGAAGGAAAGCGATGAAATAAATCAGGAATTATTGGCAAATATCAATGCATCCGGCAGACTTCACATGATTCCGGCTAGAGTGATGGGCAAGTATATTTTAAGATTCTGCGTAGTGAAAGAGAATGCCACTGACGATGATATCGATTATGCTGTGTATGTGATCGAGCAACATGCGACAGAAGTGATGCTCGCTCATTATGAAGGAACAGAAGATGAGTTCAAAGCGAAAGGACCAAAGAGTCCTGTTGCTTTGGATAAAAAGTTGGTACGAAAATTCAGTTTCACCAGGAGCGTGACGAGGGATGTTTA